GAAATTGATACAAAATTGATCTATGAAAGTATTAACAGTTCACAGAACTAGACAACTCTGCTAGAAAATATTAACTATGATTAATCACTTCTACACTTTTAGGCAGCTAGTACCTAGGAGGCAACCAGCATCATCACTTTTGCCAGATTTCTGTTTTCTGTCAGAAAAATTCTGTGGCATCTTTCATCCAGATCAGTCTGGAGGTAGTTTCTAGCATTTCTAAGGTTTGTTTACAAACATCTCATTTTATCACGATGAGGCAACAAACTAGTTAGCACTGATCAGACACTGCAGACCAATCTACATCACAGCCTACTCTTAGACTTACATGTCTAGGAGAAAGTTACAAATTGTGCTAGGTTCTCATAAATTCAATTAAGAACATTGCTAATCTTTGAGGTTATGATTTTTAACTTCTATGAAAAGAAGTAGCCATGGGTTTAAATCTTTTTCTTTTTTTTTAAGATTGACATAGCAGTATAAACAACTAACTCCACTGAGAACAGTTTACAGCTGAGCTTCCACACAACTATAGTACATGCTCTGGGAAACAATTTTGTTGTCCTCCTAAAGCCCTTTACTTACATGTCTCTTAAGAAAACAGATATAGGTACACTGCATGGTGACATGCATTGAAAGACAATTTCTTTTCCTATTGAGCACATCAATCTTGTCTAGCAGTAATGGAAGAGTCTGAATTGTAGGATAAGCATAGGTCCTCTGTGTGCTGCAGTAAACATGCTTCCAGTACTCAAATGTTAGAGGTGAATGAGTAAGAGACTGCACTCAAAGAACTAAGGATAGAAATACCTTCATAATATCAACATTTTGGGATCTTAGGGATTTCTCACCTCTTAAATGACCCTTAGATGTGCTTGCACTTGAAAATCATCATTTATACACTCTCAGAATTGTTTGTTAGGTAGTTCTAAGTAGTTTCAGGACTTCACTGCAGACCAAGCAGGCCGAGAGCACATTCGCGCTATGCTGAAGAGACATTTTGTCCAATTATAACAGAGCTTTTAAAACACTTGTAAAAACCACTTAAACAAATGCTTTGTGTGGGCAAGGAAAAGGCCCTCTAACCCTACATTGACTGTAAGTTTGAATGCATGTTAAAGTTCATAAACACTTTCAAAGTTGCATTTGTTTAAAAAAAAAAAAAAGGCACACTTAAATCTTACTCAAGCTAAAGAAAAGGTACATTTATAGCATAAAGATAGATTCTTGCAGTAAAAGGAAAGACACCGGGACCTCTTACCATGCATAAACATACAGTGAAAGTGCAAACAGAAAACAAAAATCTGCTAGAATATAGACTTGCTAACACATAGAACAACAAGCCCACAGTAGCATGAGGATAGCCTAGGATGTTATGAACAATTATTTCATCTCTATAGTTAGCAGATTATACAATTAACAAATTAAGATATTCCATGAAGTGAACACTGCTGATATCTTTTTCCTCTCTGATCTGCAGCGCTTTCTGCATTAAATATGTTAACAAGCATTTATGCAGTCTCACAGATATTACATAAGAAGAACCAGCAGAAAGTAGGGCTGTGCTACTAAGTATATGCTTCCTGTGTTCTACTGAACTGTCAGAACTAAATAGTCAATATGGATGTGGACAAGCAAACTAGACACTACTCTGTTTTCAACAAGAGAGATGATAGAATAAGTGTCCTTTGACTGCATGTCAAGAGTGCATTCTTTTCCAAGCATTTTATATACTCCATAATGGAAAAACATGGATGCAGAGGGTTAAAGTCACTGCTGTACTTGAAATTCCACTCCAGAATCACAGTCACTAATGAAGATTTCCTCCAGAATAAATTCTCTCCCTCCTGAAGCTGTCAAATTCCAAGCCAAGATCTCTTAATTACTTTTTGCTTCTCTGAACACACTTCAGCCATTTTGTTGCCAACTGAACATCTACCTTTAGTTTTCCCTTTATGACCTTTCTGTTCAGAATTAACCTCTTTGACGCAGATGTTTCACTGAATCCAACCTTTCTACAACCTCATTTTCTAGCCTTTTCAATCATTTTACCATACCTCCTGCTCTTTGTCTCTATGTGCTCTCCTCCCTTCTTTGATTTCTCTTTTCCTCCACTTCCCTATTAGAACTTCTCTTTCTCTCCACATGATCACTTTTCATCTTTAAAAGCTACTGTTAGCTCCACTTGCATGTTACACTTCCCCTTATTTTCCAAGGCAATGGCACGTGAATGGATTTACACGTGCTTTACAGCTCTTCTTGTCAATCCCCCTCACAGCAGTAGCAGTGTCTTGTAGCTACTTACAATCTTGAGAGATCGTCCAAGTCATGTAGAACATGTTCTGAATCACTGTCCTATATATCCAAATCTCTTTTCTCTAAACTGATAAGAGCAGTTTCAAGTCTCTACAAATCTTCTAATGTCAGGACCAATATTCCTTTTGAAGACACTTCCTGACTCCAATGTCTCATCATGCTGTTTTTCCTGAACACTTGCCCTGGCTTACATCCTGGATTTTCTGTTGCCTTTACTTTTGGCAATTCATTTGCAGGATGATTCATCTTACTCATCCTGATGCAATCTTTCATGGGACTTGCAGAAACCTCTACTTTCAGCACCTCTTTCTCATCATGCTATTTAATAAACGCTGGTGTAACGCTGATGTCTCAAATGTCATGATTGTCTGTATTACTTCACACTACCTCACAGGACACTCACTGTTTCTATCTCTGAAGCACATGCCTATCATTCATCAGTTGAAGCGAAAGAAGATCAAATTTGAGAGATGAAAAAACATCACACTAATCATCCCATTAAGTAGACTGAATAAGCTTTTGGTCTTCTCAAAAAAAAAAAAAAGCCTCCTAACTCTTTACTTTTGGAATTAGCAGGTACAGCACCACCACTGTAATTCACACTATTCTGTCCACATTCTAGCTCATCTACTACCCAGCACTGTTGTGGACCCACAGACAATATCACTAACTCCAAGATCCAATCCTTGTGCCTCTCCTCCTTAGTACAGGTTTTGGATTAACTTGGCTTTCTGGACAAAACTTGTCTTTCTACAAAACATCCTGGAATCCATTTACAATACTGTGGCAAAGCTTAGCCTCCTCCCTCTTAATTTCAACTCAGCATATCCCCCTTTTGCATTTTTTACCCTTATCCATACTGTATGATAAATGACTTACATGTGTTCTTCACAGCTTCAAGTGTGTAGTAATTCTTAATAGCTTCTTGGATAGACTTTCTTGTAATATTCTCTGAAAATATCACAAAAGGCTGCCAACTTCCCCTTACACACTGTTGTTGACAGCAGCCTCTTACTCATTGGTTTTTCCAAACTTGTATAGCTGAGTCCAGGAATATAAATTCAGCTGCATACTTTTTATAGGAATTGTATTTGTACTTGTACATGTAACATTAGCAAGTGTAGTATAATTTTAATGTGATGTAGTATGTATTCTGAAATGTGACACGTCATCACCTATCCGCTGCTTATTGTTCTCCTTAACTCTAGACAGCAAATGAATCGAGGGCTTTTTCCACAAAGTAAACATAAAATATACAAAGGAAATCCATGTTTGTCTTGAGGTTTGTGTATTTTTAATATTGAAATAAAACTTGCTCAGATCACAATAATTAATTTCTAGAATAATATACAAATTATTACAAGTCAGCATAAGTGAAACTAGATATAACCTCAGTCTGAATAGAACTGTTAAGAGTATAGAGCAATAGCTTTATTTTAATATTGCGCATGGGAAGAAACGTGCTCGTCTACTCAGTTCACTTGCAATTATTCAGCAACCACATTTTTTTTCCCCCACCATTTTTCTCCCTACTCCTACCCCGCCTTAAACTCCCAGATTAGTTTTTTCAATCTCTTCCATTATTAGTACGATGATGTTCAGTCTTCACAACGATTAAATGGAGGAAAAAAGCCAAAAGGAAAAAAAAAATGTTACTAACAGCTATATGTTCCATCAGCTTTTCTCAGACATGTGCATCTCTGCATATGCTGATTACAAGGGTTTAAACTTAAAAAAAAAAAAAACACCCAAACACAAAATCCCACGCATTTCCAATGAATGTGAAAGATTAGTCATTGTTTATACAGTATTTATGTGCTGTATCACTAGATCAGCCCTATGTGTTACTATTTAACTATATAGATTAATTATTGTAGAGCTTAGTACATGTTCAAGTACATTTCTTTTCTAAGGAGTACTCTGCAACTAGGACTTTGCCAGACATGCTTTGGGAATAGCTCATAGCACTGAAAGCCACAGAACTAACAAACAAATGCACTACTTAAAAGCAAATTATTCAGAATTATTTTGAGTGCCTTCAGTACTAATGTATTTTAGTAATATAAAAAATAAACATTTTTACTAATAAAGAAGTTGGAAAATAAAACTAGGGATATAGGGCTCAGGCATCAGTTATTCTTGTCCATATATTACAGTTCTCACTGTAAAGAGAGAAATGGATAACTGATAGGCTCAAAAAAGGTACAAAGGTGTGATTTTTGTTTGGGTTCTTTCTCTGTTGTAGTAAAGGAGCTTCAACTCTATTCCGATAATGCAAGAAGCAATTCAATGATATTTCACCTAGCTTAAAAATAGACCTGCTCATTTCAAAATATTGAATATAAGCATGTTATTTACACATATTACATTACTGCAATATGAAAATATAATGATAAAAGCTTACCCAATTGGTACTTGAGGGAAAAACAAAACCCACAGAATTATAAGTGACTGGCGTTTGTCTTACTCTCTCAAGAAAAAGCAGTAGACACACTGATGTTTTAGCATATATTACACACATATTCATAAACAGATCCACAAACCTATAAAAATGTGGTCACCTACAGCACAGAAAATTCTCAATTACACTTTTATACTCCACTAACAAATCAATTTAATCCACTAGTAAGTGACATAAAGGAACCCAGGACAGAAGCAAATTCTAAAAACCTCCTGACACTCACCAAAAGACTGAATGCAGGTTTCAAGAAGATCTTCCAAAGTGGCCCCTTTGGCTAAGTGCCCCAACGGCACCATCGTGACCTGGGTAAGGCTTGAGAGGCTGGGACAATGACTGATCTGCTTCAGCTCAAGTTCTGATGCTGGGGCAGCGCCACATGCTTGAGCTGGTTGCCTAAAAGAAAGCACAACAGTGAAGTAAATACAAGACCGAGTGGCAAATTTTACACCGTATGAGAAAGCCAGAGGGATTTAAATGACAATTGACTGTAGCTCGGGTGGTGAAAGACGCCTCCCCATCCTCCCATTTCATATGTACACCAAAAAGAGACTTTTTTTTTTTTTTTCCCTGCTGAATTATAGAGCACACGGTTATAGGGCTCCTTGAATGATCTGTCAAGATTGCCAGAAGCCTTGTTTCCTTGTTGGAGAGTTATGTTTACATTACTATTTAAGCACAAGCATAAAAAGACCTCAAACTATGTACTAGGAATATGGTTATGCAGTAATCTACCACCGCGTATTTGTCTATTCGCCAAAATTAAAGGAGAAAAAAATAACTATAATCAAATAATACACACATTGGAAAACGACAGACTAGCTTTACTAATTTTATTTGGAAAACCATTATTAAATAAGCAAAATATCTGCAAATTTACAGTGGGGTACTTTATAATTTACTGGAAACCCTCAACAAATTAATTTGCATCCATTCTATACTATTATCTCCTACTAGGTTGTTTTAAAATTGTATACATGATTAAATTAATCTCTCTAGTAATAAAGGTAAGAGAGGCCAAAATAAAAGCACACATCTGCTTGTAGGCTTGTATTTTGATGATAGATTATCTTAGAAGTCAAGAATGTGTATGATTACAGATAATATTAAAGACTGTTCATTGCTTTCATACAAGTTCATAATTCTCTATGAAATAATAGGCACATTATTATATTAATGAAAAGTGCTGAAACATTTTTGCCTGCAAATAACAGCAACAACTTCAAAATCTGACTTGAGAGGACGACCATGTAGTTCACAGAATAGCAACAACCACTGCTGTTTCTGTAAAATCTGTCTTTTTTTCAGGGACAATTTACACTCCAAAGTCTTCTGAAACAAGAAACTCCAACATCATTAAGATGCTCTCTTAAGCTTTCCTACAACTTTTCTTAGAACACTGTGCCAGACTTTATTAACAAACTGACTGTCCTGGGAAGAAAAGGGATAGACATTTATCCAGTGTGCACATTACATACAGAGAGGGAAGGTAAAAACAAAAACATCTCCATCGAGGCACTCATGGATGAAGTTGGAAATATGCACGCCTTGTGAAAACAGACGACCCTAGCTCATCCCAGTGAATTTTAAGCCTTATCTTTAACTTCCGTCTCATCAAAATGCAAGAAAAGTCACGAAACTGCACGTGATGTCACTTCAAACCCACCACTGACCCCAGACCTCCAGAGTTTCCAAGTGAGGAGAATTCCGTCCCGACCCCGCAGAGGCAGTGGCCGTCACTCAGCTCCCCCGGAGCTGGGCTGACAGCGGCTATGCAAAGAATGTTTTCTTCCCTTCCCCCAAATTTCCCTCTTAGCTTTGTGATCTGACTTCCTGTTCTCATCTAAAAAGAGCCAGGGCCTGCTCAGTTTTCAGGGTTTGCTTTTTGCAAGCTCAAACTCCTCTCTGAACTTTATTTCACTGCCTCTTCAACACAGGGCAGAGGATGCTCACAGTGCTGTAGTAATAAAGTAGGAGCTACGACAGGAGATATTTTAGGTCTTGGCAACAAAGCGTAGAAAACCTGAAGCGTCCACACCCCCAAAAAAGTTTAGAATAGCACCGTGGTCGACTCGGCAACACGAGACCGCCACCGCTCAGCCGGTGGAACGTTCGAAATTAACCATTCATTCAAATCCCTTGACATGAAAAACAGATTAAAGCCGCACCGCGGGGAGGGGGGGACGAGCACCCCGCATTGCCAGAGCAAGCTATCTGGCGGTGGGGGACACGCCGCAAACAAGCGATCAGCAGCTCGAGAACGGACAGCGG